AGAGAGAGAGAGAGAGAGAGAGAGAGAGAGAGAGAGAGAGAGAGAGAGAGAGAGAGAGAGAGAGAGAGAGAGTCGCCTCGCTCACTCCTGCTACCCTATCTATGACTGTGGTGTACAGGCGCCTTCCCCCTCCTTGATCTCCCCGACCGTCTACCTGCCCACTAGCACAAGCGTCCAGCAGATCTTCCGCAAAACACAAATTGACAAGTGAAGTCCTCAAAGCACTGTAGCTCTATAAATATCAGCTGAATTGACGTTTCTATCGGCTTCAGACTGGTACCGGTCACCGCGGCCTCCCGGCTGCACTTTTGCCAGTTCCGGAACTTACCAGACTTTCCCAGGATCCCGCTGCAAATTTGGACCTTGGAACTTTGGACTTATCTTGTCGAGCACTGGGCGGCTGGACTTCTAAGGACCTACGACTCTCCGGCCTACCGGACCCTACCGACCTACAGGACCTAAAATCGGCACTTCAGCCACTGGGCCTGCTGAATCAGTTACTTCCGTGGAACTGGGACCACTGGGACTCTGGGACACCTTTGTTCAGTCCCAACAAGGTTGACAAGGCCACATGCTGCTTATACGGGTTGAAGAATCATTTGCCCCCCTCCTATTTACCGGTCGATACAGATGCAAAGCAGCAAAGTGATATTTCCTCACTTTATGTAACTGCTTAAAGTTTAAACCCTGAAGACTTTGCACCATCAGATGAATTGTGTTTTCTACGGTGCAGGCTTGGCAGAGCAGACTTCGCAAAAAGAATGACCAGGAAAGGGGGGGCAAGGGCAGGGGAAGGGAAAAGCACCAGGGAAGTAAGGAGGAAGGGCAGAGAAGAGAAGGGGGGGGAGAGGGAAAGGGGATGGAGGGTTCCAATGGGCCTCGCTCAGTTGGTACACCCATGGACCGCTGAAATACAGACCCAAGTTGTAGTCCAGATGCACTCGAACTAATTGTGAATTACGTGGAGACAGACAGTTGAAGGGTGACCTTTTTGAAAAGGAAAAGGGAAGGAAACGAGAAGTAAAAGGAATTAAAAAAAAAAAAAAGGAAAAAGAAAGAGAAAGAAAAGAGGGGTAGGGGAAGGGAAGTAGGGGTACCGAAGCAGGGAAGGGAATTGGACCGAAAGGGGAAAGTGGAGGAAAAGGCGGGAAGGAAACGAGTCAAATGACATAAGGAATTAAGAACTCAGGATCCACTATTGAGCAAGAAACGAGTAGCATACCCGGCTCACTGTGCGTAAAGCCGCCAGCCATAGTGCCAGCATGACATCCCGCCACGGAGCACCATCAATCTGGCGCAAAGCCGTAACCGTCTCTTCTCGCAACAGACAAAAACGGAACAGGCACAGCACAGGTGAAGCCACAATGATAGGAACAACACAAAGTCACAGGGACAAGCACAGGCATTGGCAGATGCAGGAACAAGCCCAGGCCCGTGCATACACGGAGACGCACAAACATTTGCAGACACACTATGTACAAGAAGAGGCACGTGAAACATACGGTATCAATGAGAAAGCAAAGCCAAAAAGTGTTCCAGTTTGCAGCAGCTGAAAACTTTGATTGGGAAGAGGGGCTTCCAAGTACTCCCTTTCAGACAATATTGTTTGATGAGTTGAATCAGAAAGATCCATGTTTATCTCATCCTGCCTATAACGTGCGGTGATTCTCTTCATCTCAGTTTGAAGCTTTGCACCTATGATTTTCTTGCACTCCTTGTTTCTCATGCAAATTCAGCGGCGAGTACTCCTTCGTTTCCCATCTGCTCTCTGATTCACACATTTTTCACCTTGTTCCTCTGCAGCCTCAGCACGATGCAAGTTCATTTTGAGGGCAAGGTGCCACCCACCACTTTATATATTCGCCGTATTATTCGGTGATGTTTGCAACACTACTGCAGCCTCCTGGAATTCACAATCTTCTCTTTCGGGCTGTTCGACTGCAACCACCTCAGAGGCAAATAAATTGCACACGGAGGAAACCCCCTTCCGTCCACCCCCCGGCCAAAAAAAAAAACGTTTTACTGATTATTTCGGCGAATTCAGCTCAATACCGGAAGTTACCTGAAACTGGACTGTCACTTGTGACATCTACAGTGCTTGCACACATACTAAGAAAGATAGTAAGCAGTGCCCACCTCAGGCACGCAGCAGCTAATATCCATTCTTGCTGAGGGCAAAGCCGCAATGAAAATGTGATGGTTGTAACTACCAATGAGGTCAGTGCATGTGAAAAGGAGACACCGCTAAAAAGGCCATGTGTGGGTGGTGAACGGATGTGTGCACACAGGTATGGACTCACGTGCATGAGGACACACAACACACAGCGTGGTAAGAACACAAGGAAGGAGGAGGATGACGACGCAGATGAGACAAGGAGGAGGCGGAGGAGGAGGCAGGTGAGAGCAAATGCATGCCACATTCGAACGCGCCACGCATAAAGATGCCCCTAGTATTGTATGTGGTCCAGTTGGAATTCAAATGGACTACATGCGGCCTGGCCCGCAATGAACAGAGGTCTTGCGGTCCAGGTCCAAAAGGACAGCCCTTTTATGCCAACGTAAGTACACAGGGAAAACTCAGTTTGCAACTGAAGTTTCTATTGTGCTAAAATTACAACTTAGAGAACTTTCTTACGTTTTTTATTCACAGTTTTGCACTTTTCCTCAGAGCCGTACTTTTCCTCAGAGCCGCACTTTTCCTCAGAGCCGCACTTTTCCTCAGAACCGCACTTTTCCTCAGAGCCCCTGGAGGGTTTATGCACAGATAATACAGTGGAATGTACCTAAGGACATCACAGTTCACCTAGCTATCAATGTCAAGCACCGCCACAGGAGGCACTCGTGGTTAACCGGGGGGCTCAATTTTTACTGAATGTTTGTCAAATTTCACTGAAAGTGCTGTATCCAATTTTGATTGTTATTTTGGATGCTCTATAATCATATAATAATGGGTATTATGGTACCTCTTGTGTTGCGTTTTGACATTTTTGGACTGATAGTAGAGGTTTTGGAAGGCAGAGATAAATGACTTTCACACACGATGGAAAGACTGGCACAACTCAGAAGCAGGGTGGAGAAGGCAGAGATCTTAGCCAGCAGAAGGACAAGATCCATCACAGGTCACATAATATCGAAAGGCAAATTCCGAGATTGCATCTTCCGTAGCTTCTCTTACCTTTCTTGCTCTTTATTATTTATCTGACAGGTTCATGCAGTGGACCTGAGAGGCAAGCTGACAGTCAATCCTCCACGATGCGGGAGTAATCAATGCTGGTCAGGGTTCCTTCGGCCGGACAGAAGGAAGCGTGAGTGTGTTTCATGATGTAATATTTTATTTTGACTTGCCGGTGGAAGAGGAACCGGACTGATGCTCCCCAGAATGGAAATGGAGCCAGGGCCATACTGTTTTACGGCAAAAAAATAAATAAATAAATAAATAAATAAATAAAAATCGAGGTTTTGGAATTGAGCATCGAGTCTGCCACAATTTCAAACACTGTTTGTTTGGTAGACCCGTGTTTTTCCAATTTCCAAAGGGGGTATCCCCTGATTTTATTACGTTCACCTGAAGTCATTAGGGTCCAAACTCATGTTCAGTTTACACAAACAGTTTCATGTGCGTACTATACCATTCAGCCACGGGGTGACGGGGGCTTGCTTTCTGTGGACGCATGTTGTTCACCCATGTTATTCGTTTTCAAAGATGTCTATTATGTTCGTTGCAGTTGGGCTGCAAAAGCACCAATTTACTGGCGCTCCATTAACCATTTGTCACAAAGGGACTTCAAAGTCGAGAGGGGGTGGGGGGGGGGTTCAAGTGAGAGATGCCAGGAGATAGGGGACAGAGTGGCGTGCAAAAGGAATTTTAAAGAAGGGGTCTTACCTGCAATTTGGGCAACAGTCGAAACCAACGGAATGCGTTTCCCTCCGACTGCCTCTTCGAGTACCATATCCAATGGCAGCCAGATAGGAGCTCCTCCAATTAGCCACCCATCCAACGGCCACAATCTAGCACTCATCCCCATGAGTGCACGGAGCACGGGGATGTTTGGCCTCTGATTTACCTGGAGATCATCGTGCACTGCTCCTATGCTCGCAGCTGCAGAGTAAGCTATGCTTCTGATCCCGCCAGCCAGCCCTCCCGGTGCACCTGGACCACCAACAGTACCCAATATAGCCACCAATTGCCGCAGCTCTCTCCATTGGCATGGACTGCAGGCAAGCATGGGAAAAATTGAACAAACATGGACGATTCAATGATTCTCAGGTTGCATGCGACCAGTTGTCCTCGCACCCAAAGCATTCGTTAGCTTTCTTGCTTGAGAAAGAACAGTACCAGCAAATCAGCACCTGCTTATTCAATGCAAGGACACGGCCAGGCTTGGTGAACCTCCATCTGCATAAACTTACTTCTTCAAAAAAGTGGCAGTCATGAGCCAGGTCCTGCAGTCCACTTCAAATTGAAAAACACAAAACAGGCTTCTACTACTTTACTAAATGCAAGGAGAGGCAGCGCATGTCTGCCTGCGTCAGAAAGTAGCATGAAGAAATGATCTTTTCACGAAAAGAGAGAGAGAGAGAGAGAGAGAGAGAGAGAGAGAGAGAGAGAGAGAGAGAGAGAGAGAGAGAGAGAGAGAGAAGTTTGAGAAAGTGATTATACAGAAGGAAAGAAAGAATTCACCCAGGGTACAGGAACACAGCTGTTAGTGTTTGAAAGCGAATGGTCCTTCAGGACATCCGTTCAAATTGGAACGATCCAGCAAGGATTAGCATGGCCCCTGCCCATGGGAATGACAAGGACAAATCGAGAAATGGTCCAAACTTTGAAGAAGGAGGGGGGCGGTGGGGCGGGGAGTGAAGGAACGGCAAAAGAGTCCAGATACAATAATTGAGAAAAAGTTGAGCAAATGAAAGGGTGAGAGCGCAGAGATCAAATAACGAGAACTGATCCTTGCAAATGAAAGGTATGATACACTTCAAATGACGAGTAAGAAAGATGGAGAAGTTGTTCGTTCTTCCCTGACAGATTTACGTCTTGATGACATGCTTGACCCATTCACCTACTAAAGCCACTCACTCAGTAACTGACACTAACTTTAGGCTCAGCTTGACGTCATTGCACAGCTGGTCATTAACGGTCATGACATGCTGAACGTCGATTCGAAGAGGTGGATTCTCCATTGTTCCTCTCTCAATGACCGAATTTGAAAACCGTCGCCAAAGATGTCAATTAAGTCTGATCTGTTATAGTAGTTCATCATACCCTAAGTCAGGTGTGATAGTCATTTTCCTGCTGCAGTTGGTCATTCTTTTTCTACGAGTCCCAGAGGGCATTACAATAGCAGGGAATACTGTAGGGTGCTGAAGACTACATATTGCTTTGGAATCCGATGTTGAACTCGGATTTATTTCAACGGCTCCGCTCGAGTTTTTGTCCTGCTTTGTTGTCCTGCTTTGTGACATTCACTCGTTTCCGATGGCATGAGGAATAATGGTCTAAAAGTGCAGATCTGTTTGTGTGTGTGTTAATCAAGATCCCCAAACTCTCTCTCAATCCATCCTCGTACCATCACAAATCGTCCATGAACAAAAAAAAGTATAGATAAGCTATATAAGCGAAGGTCCAAGGTTCCCACGTTTGTGTGTCTGTGTGTGTGTGTGTGTGTGTGTGTGTGGAAGAGAGAGACAAAGAGAGAAAGTCTCCTGCATGGATTACTTGACGACTGGCACTCAGATTCATACAGGCATACAAAGGAGGGAGTAGAACCTGTCACCAGCGAGGGGAACTTGGCTCTTGAGCAGAGTCCAGGACATCAGCATTTAAACTCGCCTTCTCTCTCTCTCTCTCTCTCTCTCTCTCTCACACACACACACACACACACACACACACACACACACACACACACACACACACACCACATAGACAGAGGTATCGACAAACAGTCTGAGGCAGGGGTAGAGAGAGGTAGAAGAGGAGGTAAGGTGAGCAGAGTAGAGGCAGCGACTGAAGTCGTAAAAAGCGAGGGGAAGAGAATGATGAAACAGGCTGGATGGTCTGGGATGACAGCCAGGCAAGGGATGAGGTTGCTCACAAGAGCCTTTCGCTGAGCTGAAGGAGCACTTTTGTCCTGGGAGTTAAAATGATCTTTGCGGCAAGTTGCACGCTCGACACAACAAGGCTCTGCTTCAGCCTATCCCCAGTTTCCTCTGCCTCGCTATCTCTTCCACCAATGGTTCTGTGCGCAGCTGCATCAGCATCCCCCATTGGCAGATCAGCACCACCAACCTCTGAAGGAAAAACATGCTCGTTTTCTGCCTCTCCCATCCGAGAATCTGCAACCGAAACCCCACTTCCATCATTGGTGTCTTCTAGTCTTCTCCACTCTCCAACAACCAGTCTCAGCAACTCCAACTCAACAAGTAGCAGCACTGCCACAACCCATGCTCCACCTTCTTGACCTGAGAGACACTGAAGCTCGGCCCACTGGATTGTTGTAGCAACAACACTTAAGATGCGGTCGCATCCAGTTTCAGCTCTCCGTGGATGAAATCTGAGACAATGTACTTCGGCAATGGATAGGAACCAGGCAAATAGCTCCGGTAAGTCTCCCCACCATCTGTGTACTCTGCCAAAAGGAAGCAGACCACCATCTGAAATGAGCCAAGTACTCGTCAAGTTCAGCCTCGCATACATCAATGAACATTCACATGAGAGTTCACACGCAAATTGAGATACAATCAACACTTGGAGACGTCGTCTCCAATATTATTATCAATATACAAGAATGTTCGTCTCCAGTGGCTCTGCCGCACACACACACACAACGGATCTCAACCAGATAGCGGGTATAGCTTCTCCCCTCATCTCTCTCTCTCTGACTTGACTCGCTCTGCCTCTCTCTCTCTCTCTCTCTCTCTCTCTCTCTCTCTCTCTCTCTCTCTCTCTCTCTCTCTCTCTCNCTCTCTCTCTCTCTCTCTCTCTCTCTCTCTCTCTCTCTCTCTCTCTCTCTCTCTCTCTCTCTCTCTCTCTCTCTCTCTCTCTCTATCCTGGATCGTTACCCTGGATACACCCACTCAGGTAGCTCACACCTTGGCGGCTATGGCCGCCGTCCTCCTGCTCGACCGCTAGCCTAGCTATGGAGTATCTCTCAAGTGCCCTCTTCTTCTTCGGGTGCACAATGCCCAAGTTGCTTTAACGCACAAGCAGCAGCAGTGCTTCTGCATCTCGCAACTGAACGAGTGATGAGCGCTTCTGCACTGTAGCAGCTAAACATAGGACTTGGCTTCACTGGGCTTCGCTTGGCTTGACCTGCTTCAGACCAGTACCGGTCGGCCGCGGCCTGTCTGCTGCAAACATTTTGTTGGTCCGGTAGCTTCCGGACTTCCCTGGGACATGCCACAAATTGGACTTGGGACTGTCGGACTGGACTGGACGCTTCTGGACTTTTCTTGTCGGGTACCGGACGGACTCCTACCGACCTACGACGCTTCGGTACCGACACCTACCGACCTACGACGCTTCGGCCTCTAGACCCTACAGCCTACCCTGCAGGACGGCCCTGGGACTTGGGACTTGTCAGGACCTTGGGACTGGGACTGGGTGTCTGCAGCGTGAATCCTTTCACTCCCGCCGGCCTAATTTCGAGGTCCTCCGATAAAATCTCAACTTTATCTATCATACACATGCATTCCTCTCTGGGCCCTCTCATAGAAGGAGACAATGTGGGGGGCCGTGTGTATTAGTTCTTCCCTGGGGAACCAGCGGTCTTCGCTGGGCTCTTGGTAGGCAAACCTGACCTTATATTGCCGCTGTGGCCTTCCTCTGCTACCTGTGCGGAAAGTATGTTCGGCCACTATTCGGTCTACATCATAACCTCCGTCCATATCCAGTGGAATCATGGAACGTTTGGAGGGAAACTGGTCATTCGTAATACACGGAAGCAACTTCGATGCGTGGAATACCGGGTACGTGTGCAGGTTGGGGGGAATCTCGATCGTGTAGGGTGGACCATCTGCCTCTCCTTTGACATCTAAGACTTGCCATGGTCCCCTATATGCAGGTAACAGTTTCTGTGAAATCCCGTCTTCAGGAACAAACTCCTTAACCTTATATGCGTCTACTTAACCCATACCAAGTCACGTACTGCAAACTGCGTGGTCGTCGATGTTTGTTAGCTTGTTCTACCATCTGGTGCTCGGCCTTAAGGATGTTCCTTTTGACCTGCTCTAGATCCTTCTCTTATTGAATGGCAAACTCCCTTGTACCGGGCAGCAGTCTTTGAATCTGATCTGGATTCAAGCAGTCGATCGGACGTCGGGGTTGCCAACCTCTGTGCAGTTCGTTAGGGGTGCGTGCAGTAGACAAGTGCACCCAGTTGTTGTATTCAGACTGCACTTTGGGAAGATGTTCATCCCAATCGATCTGGCTGGGCCTAATGTACATGCGTAGCACTTGCTGGAGCAGTTTGTTCATCTGCTCGGTCTGGCCATTGGTCTCCGGGTGTCTACTGGAAGACATGGTCAGCTTTGATCCATAAACTACCATCAACTATTGCCAGTGCTCGCCCGTGAATCTGCTATCTCTATCGCTAACAATGGTTAATGCGTGTCCGCAATCCTTAACCCAGTGATTGAAGAATTCTCTAATCACTAAATAATAAATGTCTTTGCCTCAGCGGGCAACGGAATAAAAACAGCAAATGTGCTAAATCTATCTACAACTACCATCATTTGACTCTTCCCGTTTCTGCTTTTGAATTTCGTGTCCATAAAGTCGATCAACACGGATTCAGCAGGACCGAACGGGACAGGTAGTGGTCTCAACAGGCCAAGTGGGGACTGCGTGGAACTTTTGTTCCGTTAACACACTTGACAGCCCTGGATATAGGCAATGCAGTCGTGCTTCATGCCGACCTGGTGTAGGACCAGAAGAGATTAGCATAGGTTTTCCTCCAACAGAAATGGCCCTCGGTGTCGTGGCACTCTCCCAGGATCAAACTTTTGTTTGTCTCGTTGTTCGGGATGCACAGTCTATTGAACCTGTCCGTTTTTTCAAGAAATAGTCTGTTGGTTACTCTATAATCCGGGACTTTGTGTGGTGCAGTCTGCACCATTTTAATTAGCTCGCTGTAAACGGGATCGTCGGTGTACAGCCTTGATCTTCTGCTGTAGCTCGGCACCTGCATCTAGGTAAGTCACGATGGCATCAAAGAAATCGGCACGTCTACTGAATGCGTCTGCGACGACATTGTATTTGCCCTTGACTGTTCAGCTCAAAGTCAAACTGATTTATCTTCCCAGCCCATTTAGTCAACTTAGGGGTCATTCGGGCTTGGGTTTTCAACCAGCGTAGGGTTTCGTGGTCAGAGTAGACTTTAAAGTGCCTTCCTAGGAGATAGTGCCGCCAGTGGTCCAGTGCCTCCCTCAAGGCGAACAGCTCGCACTCATATGTCGACGCAGTGACTTTAAAGTGCCTTCTCACTAGGCACTCTGCAAGACATGAACTCGACGGGTCGACAGCCCTGGCCATCGTTCTGCTGGAGTACGACGCAATTCCATATTGGCTTGCGTCAGTCGTGACAATGAACGAAAGTGATGGGTCTGCAACTTTCAAGACCGGGTACTCAATCAATGACTTCTTCAATTTCTTGAAGGTTGAGGGTCACTCTTTGTCCCAATTCCAAACGGTCTCCCTCCTCAGCAGTTTGTGCAGTGGTGCAACGATCATTGTGAAGTTTTGTACGAACTTTCGGTAGTAATTGGCTAATCCTAACAACGACGACAGTACGGTCAATGTCTGCGGTGTTGGCCAATCCCTGATTGCTGCTATCTTTGCGTCTTCCAGTCAGACTCCATCTCCATCCAATACATGGCCTAGATACAACACTTGACGCTTTGCACATTCACACTTCTTCGAGTTTAATTTGAACTTTGCAGTGCGTAGCTTATCTAAAATCACACGCAGATGCTGCTGGTGCTCCTCTAGAGTCTTACTAAATATCATAATATCGTTCAAGTAAACGACTATGAATTTATCTAGCCATTCACGAAAGAGATCATTCATGCACCTTTGGAAGGTAGTAGGTGCATTCATCAGACCAAACGACATGACCACAAATTCGTAGTGGCCATAGCGAGTTCTAAAAGCCGTCTTGTGCTGGTCTTCGGGTTGTACCTCTATTTAATGGTAGCCCGACTTCAAGCCAATCTTGGAAAAATACTTGCATCCCTGCACCCTATCCAACAAATCATCGATTCTAGGCAACGATTCGGCTTTGTCACTGTAATCACGTTCAAACCCCTGTAGTCGATGCACATGTGCAGTTCGCCCTTCTTTTTAGGCACGAACAGCACCGGTGCGCCATACGGTGAGGAGCTCCACCCCTTTTCTATCAATTCATCAAGCTTCATGTGCACCTCACTGAGTTTTTTGGGAGACATTCGATAAATGGGCCCCCTGGAGGTTTTGCTACCGAGCTCTATCTCCATCTGGTGCTTGATTTCCCTTTCCACTTCTGTCGAGGTCTCTCCCACATCAGCAAACTCTTTCAACAATTTTTCAACTTCGGGTGGCGTTTGCTCCTCCTCCTTCTTGCCTTCACTAACCGGTCTAACGTACGCTACAAAGATTTGGTCAACCAAATTGGCCTTGACCACGTGTTTGGCGAACGCAGGGGCACTCATACAACAAAGGGACTTTCTGGACTCTACTCCAAACTCATGAAACAACCGCATTTTCTTTTTGCCTCCTTCAGGTTTGGGCAGCCAGCATTCATGCTCGCCCATCTTCACGCCAGCCCCCTAGCATCAAGTCGAAAGGTAGGCCTCCTTCAGGGTTGGGCAGCCAGCATTCATGCTCGCCCATCTTCACGCCAGCCCCCTAGCATCAAGTCGAAAGGTAGGCTGTCCTCCACTAAGAGAGTCAGGGAGTGCAGAGCTTTCTCTACCTTGTTCCCATCTTCACGTCAGCCCTCGCAGCCTCTTCCCAATCCGTGCCTAGGATCAAGTCGGCAGAACTTTCTCGACCTTTCTCCCCCCTTCCAACCGGAAGTATGCCTTTACTCCTTCGACATCCGCTTTTACTTTCATTTCATGATTGTCTGTCAACCTGCTCACGACCGGTTCGTCCAATTTCATTTTGTTTTTTTTGTAGAGGCCAATTACGAGGCACAGTGCCACACACATTGATCGCCGGAAGCGGTCAGTCGTGGTCGCTTTGAGGTGAGGCCACCACCCATCCCATCCTCGCATCAATACTCCTAGCGCATCCCCTATCCTTACTATCCTACCTAAGTGTGACCAGCACTCAAAACCATTACCCTACCAGTATCGAGGGCAACTTGGACCGAACAGTAGTGACAGGACCCAGGGCTAGCGACCCAGCCCTGGTTGAAGCATAGTCGAACGAGCCTCGTCGCATGGGTACTTCGGACGCCAGGCTCAAGCAATCACCTATTGGCCCCTAAATTGACCAACTAGTAACTCACGCCCTCTACTCTCCC